GACCACAGAGCTTATTTCCCTTGGTTACACACAATCAAATGAAGATCATTCCTTATTCATCAAAGCTACTTGTGATTCATTTACTGCACTTCTGGTGTATGTCGATGATATGGTCCTTGCTGGTAACAACATGCTTGAAATACAAGTTGTCAAACAGCATCTTGATAAGATTTTTAAGATCAAGGACTTAGGTCCACTTCATTTCTTCTTAGGCTTTGAGATTGCACGTTCTCAAAGAGGGATTATTTTAAATCAGAGGAAATACACATTAGAATTGTTAGCTGACAGTGGTGTGATTGGTGCCAAGCCTGTCTCTACTCCAATGGAAGCCACACTTCGATTATCTCAGAACCAAGGAGATTCTTATGCTGATGCTGCATCCTACCGTAGGCTAGTTGGACGCCTCCTATACCTCACAAATACAAGACCTGATATCTCTTTTGCTGTACATCAATTGAGTCAATTTGTTGCACATCCTATGCAATCTCATTTTGATGCTGAGCTTTGCATATTAAAGTACCTAAAAGGATCTCCAGTCAAGGGACTTTTCTTCCCATCTCATAATTCTCTTGTTCTTACAGGATTCACAGACGCCGATTGGGCCACATGCCCTGACACTCGTCGTTCTACTACAGGGTTCTGTGTCTTCCTTGGATCATCATTAATTTCTTGGAAATCTAAGAAACAAACTACAGTTAGTCGTTCATCAGCCGAAGCAGAGTATCGCCCGTTGGCCACTTTGACTTTTGAATTACAATGGCTTACATATCTTCTTCATGATTTCCATGTTCCAGTTACTAGTCCAGCCAAGGTGTATTGTGACAATCAAGCATCCATTCATTTGGCTCATAATCCTACATTCCATGAAAGAAGCAAACATATAGAGTTGGATTGTCATTTGACTCATGAGAAAATTGCTCAAGGCTTGATTCACTTGCTTCCAATTTCAACTAAGCACCAGCTAGCAGATACATTCACCAAAGCTCTTCATCCTGCTCCTTTTCATACTTTGTTGTCCAAGTTGGGACTTTATGACATATACCTCCCAACTTGAGGGGGGTGTTGAGTATCACTCCGTTAGTTAACCGTTTTACTCAGTTAGTTAATTGTCTGTAAAGTTAGTTAACCGTTTACTTAGTTACTCACGCTTACTGTCATGTTCTCATTATATATATGAGAACAGTGTAACTTAAACGATTGGATGATTCATTCTTACATAATGTCAATTCAGTCTTCTATTTTCTTTGGTCTCGATTCTAACACGCATTGTGCCAGCCCATACACTCTGTTCTGCCTCGATGACCCCTTGAACTCTGTTTCTCCGGTGGCGAATTTCTTCGCAAGCTGGGAACTTGCAGCTTCTTCAGCCAAACTATTCAACAAGTTGAACAACGTTTGGTTGAAGCTTTTCAAATCCGAGGTGGAGATGTTCTTGTCATCCCACAAGTTCACTCTTGGGACGATGCTGACAGGGTTGAAGTACCTGTTTGTGTAACCCAACGTGCACTCATCGTACCATATTATGGATTGTGTCTGGTTGTGGCAGCGACGTTTTATCTCTGTGGCTGCGGCGGCGACACACTCCTGACAGATGGCAGAGGAGACGTCGTCGCGGCAGAGGAAGATGCCACTGGCGACGTTTATGGTCGCCAAGCCTATGTTTGTTAGGTAGTAGCCGTCGCGGCCTTGGGAGGCGTTGGAAGTGAGATCTGAGAGGAGAATCTTGAGATTGCTTTGGAATGTAATGCTGGATTGATAAGTTGCGGTGTTTAGGCAGTAATTATCGTTGTAAACGGGAACTGCCGAGGTAAATAATACAATTCCTAATAGAGAAAAGAGCAGAGAAGGGATAACATGATTATTGAAAAGATGCATGTTTTATCAATATTTTGTTGCTCCACATTAGCTTGGATTTCACAGCGTATAAAATGATCGAACTCTATGCATTCCTCAATCTCCATGAATCGAAACTTAGCGAGAACAGCCGCCCAAGGACTAGTCTCTTCAGTTTAGAAATGAAGTTTGAAACGACAACCAAGCACCTTTTGACCATACCTAAAATGATATAAAACTAAAGAAAATATCATTGTCTCCATTTTTAGTCTCTTTTTCCTACTCGTATCATTATCATTTTAATCAATTGAATAGAAATTTTAAGATCAAATCATAATATTAAAGACGTGTAACACAAGAAAAATATTGGCACACATACTAAACATGGATATGTGTTGATTTTGAATTAGGATGGCTTTACCTACTCGTATAGTGTGTTTGGATTTGGATGACATAATGGTAAGAACAAAGAAGGAAAAAGAAATCAAGGAAATTTATTTACTCTTATTGTTTTTATTAAACTCATTTTTTATTTTTGAAATTAGGCTATAAAACGGTGAACTTAAATGTATTAGAGTGCTATTCCACTTTTAATTAATATTCTAAATAAAGTAAATAGTAATTCTGTTATATGATTTTGTTGAACTTTTGTTCAATTTATTCCATATGCGCACTGCGCAGGTGACGTAGAAGCTATTACCTGTCTCTCTCTTTTTCACAATTATTTTAATGTCAAGCCAAATTACGCGACAAGAGACTGTAATCCGTAAAACAAATAAAAAAAATACATATATATTTTTAGGGGAAAATGTTTATCATTTTAAATGACACAACTTTGTGTCATTTTAATAAAACTACGTCGTTTTGGTGAGTTTTTACATATTTTTATTATTTATTATGAGTTTTAATATTTAAATATTTGCCACAAAATATTTATTTGGCACATTGAAACTAGGGGTGATAAACGAACCAGTGACCTTTGGCTCGGCTCGTTAAAGCCTAAGCTTGTATGCCTAAAATTGGTTGTTGGAACCAGGCTTGAACTCGTTAAGGCCTCGGACTTCAATGCAAAAGCTCGTTAATTTTTATTTTTATTTTATATTTTTATACTACTTGTAATAATCCTCTCTCTCTCTCTCCTCAATACATTTCATCCAATTTTATTGGTTAAACAGACTTTTTGAATGATTTTGTTCTATATTATGTTATTTTGATATATATTGAATTTATGAATATTTATGAAATTACTAGTGTTGTTGATTGTGCATTTTACTTGGATGAATTTTTGTTGTCTTATTTTTTTTAAACAGGCTAAATAAGTCTTCCATTTTTTGTAAATAAGTTAGGCCACATGCCGATAATTGTCTTCCATTTTTTGTAAATAAGTTAGGCCATATGTCGATAATCATATTCGTAACAGATAACAGATTTGATCAGGCTGACACATTTAAACACAGACTTAACCTTTTAATACCAAAGCTCGGCCCGACTCGACCCGTTAACATCACTAATTGAAACCCACTTATTTACAAGTGAGTGTGGCATATAGAGATATTTTTCCTATTTTTATTATTTTTGCAAAGGACCATTATCCCTTTATTTTTTTAATTAAAAAGAAAAAATACATTAAATTGGGATGTGATGGCTGATGCAGAGAAAAATACATTATTTTTATACTTAATTATTGCACAGAACCTCTCTCTGCCTCGTTTTTTCGATGTGATGCAGAGATCTAGAAGAATCGCTGCTAGACTGTCGTCTGCTCTGTGAAAATGGAAAAATGAATACGCTTCTGACATTTCCCGGTTTTCCTTCTCACATTAAACTTTTAACGTGAACTTTATACTAATTTTAACTGTTAGATCATAACAGACCTAACCTCGAAAATGACGTAAAAACATAAAATAAAAATAAAAATATTGAGTATTACATCACTGTCACTCAATTAATTAGAAATTTAAAGAACTAATTATATATATATATATATATATATATATATATATATATATATATATATATAGGTAGAAGATGTTTTTTTAGATTTTCAAAAAAATTGATATTAAAAATTCTATTTACTCATATTTGGTATGAGGATTAAATTATTTTTTTTTCTCCAAAAATCAGATTCTTGGAATTTATTTTCATGAAAAAAATACCAACTTAAAATATCGTGGTATTTTACAAATCTCATCCCATAAGAATAATTTCTAATTTTTTAGGGACAAAATTACCCTATTGTCAGCCATGTTGTGCTATTGCCTCCCATACACTGCAACAGCCCGTTGTACACCGGTATTGTTAACATTAATTATGATATTAAGCGCAGTTACAATCACAGCAATTCATTTATAAAAATGCGAATAAACTTTTTCCGATTATTACGCGAGCATTTAAAACATAAAAAGCGTAATAATTAAAAACTGTGACCGTAACCGTAAACTCTTACGGAAGACTTATTTAAACTATTTTTATAACTTACTTTACTTATTATAAGTAACTAAGGGGTTCCCATAAACCCACTTAGCCAATTACCAAACTTTAAATTTTACATTTTCAAACACGGTCCACTCATCAATTTTCTGTGAACACACCGCTCACAACCATACCTCCTTTTCAGATTATATCTTTGTCTTACTTAATTTCCTTTTCAACAAGTTATCACACGCTCATTTCGGAGCTCATTTGCTCTGGTTATCGCCGTTTGAAGTTGGATAAGCAAATAGCCAACCAACCCCAAAAACAGCTCCAAACCACTCACATTACTCGAATTTCTGCACTAAATCCACTCATCCATTTGCTCTCAAATTTTTATCCTCCAAACTATACATCTCAAACTTCATTTGGATATATCACACGCTTAATTTGACTGAGAAATGAAGCAGGAATTAATTTCCCAAATCAGGTCCGGAACTTCCTCAGATGCAGTGGCACATGAGCAGTCCGCGTTTCTCCATTTTTTTCAGGACGAAGATCAACCCATATTTTCCCCAACTTTTGACACTAGGAAGAGGACATCTCAACCTTCAAAATGGCGTATGGCACGTCCCTATTGGACCTTTATGGAGGGAGATATGCTCTCCCGAAGTTCGCCTAAAATCTGCCAATTCTACAGAAAATTCGCCAGTGTTTCCTTTGTTTTTCCAATAATCCCAAATTTGTAAAAGATCATTTAAGCCTCAAATGTACCTAATAATCACATGATAATACAGTAATAATCCAATGGGTGGCACACACAAGGACCAACAACGCCTTGGGGCACTTACAACCCAATCCAGTTTATAGTTATTAGGCATATAGTTCATATTAATCATCCTTAAGTAGTTGCAATCACTAACACCTTTTTCATGCATATTTTCATCATACATGTAATCATACCCTAAAATAGGCCTAAGGCCTTTCCATCATAAATAGACATGCATCAAATATGATTACAATATTGCTTTACAACTTACAACTTGAAACTTAAACTTTAACTTACATTCTTCCAATATTACAACTTAAATACAAATGACAACATAACCAAATACATAACTACTAGACTTAGGGAAAATGGCATGAACAAATATGCTAATGAAGCTCATACCACATACATATGAGATGTTCATGCCCTAAGTCTAGCCTAGGCCACACGGCCAACAAAATGCAAAATGTGAAGCATTCCACTGCTCACTCTGCGGGACTCTTGCCCGCTGCTCCGGCTCCACAGCTACCTCCTGAAATAAATGCCCCGAGACGGGGTGAGATATACGAATATATCTCAGTAACCAAGAGGTTCTGGAGAAAACTCCACCCAATGGTTCACTTCGATGCATATCAATAGAATAAAACAACCACTTTGAAAACGGGATATAGCAAGGGATTTAGAGAACTGGGGAAATATCGGAATACAAAGTACGAGGCTGCGGGATGGTAGCTACCAATACCATGCACACCCTGGCATATATAAGCCTATGGGTCCACCCGAGGTGTGATCAAATCACTACCACCCTGGTACCCATTCCATCGGGTCCACCCCAGGTGTGATCGAATCACTACCACCCCGGTACCCATTCCATCGGGTATAATCCAAGGTGTGATCAGATCACTACCACCAAGGTACCCATTCCATCGGGTATAATCCAAGGTGTGATCAAATCACTACCACCAAGGTACCCATTCCATCCATAACACCTGAGACATTCCTAGTGTGCTCTTATCCGAATCACACACTATGACCCACGGTCAACTGGAACTCCCTCTCAGAGACCTATGCAGCGGAAGTCCGAAACTGCCCGAAGGCTAAAAACTATCTACTGGCCAGAGACTCGGTACATAAGTACCAATTGTAATAATGCATGCATGCTCATGTTGTTCTACACTACTCATATACACTTCCTACCGTTGCCATCAACTGGCAAGGTGGAACAGAAAAGGGGAACAAGCCCCAGTACCAAGAGGTTACCTTAAATATTGTTTAAACAAGCTCCGCAGCAGCTTATCTCTCAACTTGGTACACAACAGAATGCCTACACAGAGGACATTGCCAATCTATTATAATTCAAACAATACATGCTAATTTACAATTATACATGCATTGAACCAATTACATACCTCAATCCACTTGGTCCAGGACCAAGAGCAACTCCCAGATTCAAGTTTCGAGATTCAAGTCAACGTACGACAACCTATACAATCACGTACATCCATCAGTACGCGTCAAATAGCATCAAAACGCAAAAATCACAAAATCCTCCCCTTCCTCCTTGAAGGTTCGGCCAAACTAGTGTTAATTTGATATTTATTTTTCTAAATTTTCTTTCTCATTTTGTTACGCCTCAATAGGTTGTCAAGAGGCCAATTCAAGTGCCGGTTCGTTTTTTCGCGTCGAATTACATCAGAACGCGAAAACCGCAAAATCCTCCCTTTCTCCTTGAAGGTTCGGCCATATATGTGTTATTTGGGTATTTATTTTTCTAAATTTTCTTTCTCCTTTTAGTCCCCATCCTTGGGTTGCCATAAGGCCATTTCAAGTGTCGTTTCGCCGTTTTACGTCTTTTGAGCAT